GGCTGATTCTCTCTCTAGCAAAGAAGGAAGAAAAACCTCTTCAAAGTTTGGCAATTATCTAGCTCAAATCCTCCAAAACACTTGCTTGATCTAGTTTCTACTCCATAAAACCTCTTCTTTTAGTGATAGTGAGTTGTTTGGTGAAGTTGTTTGGAAGCTTAAGGTGACAAGTAGCTCTCCCTCTTGTTTTGCTAAGGTAAGTGGTGGATGAACACCTCTCCTTCCTCTAATGATGTTCAATTCATGATTAGTGGTGTTATAAGATGCAATTTCATGGATTATTTCTTGAGTTTGGTTGAATTGGTGAAGTTTTATTATTTTTGGAGATTTTTCTGTTTTCATAGGGATATGATTGGGTGGTCATGTATGATGATTGGAAATGATGTTTAATGACTCTAGGAGGTGGAAAAAGTGATTAAGTGCAATCAATTTCTGTTTTGGAAGAAATTTCAGAAAATTAGGTTTTGTGAAGCTACATTCTGTCCGGTTTTATAGCTCCTAGTTAGAGGCCGAATTGGCCTTGGCTTAAAACATGAAAGTTGTAGGGAATGACATTTTAAAGGTGCCTACAAAATTTCAGGTCATTCGGAGTAGTGTGGAATGAGAAAATTCGAAATTACTATTGCTGTTCTGGTTTACCCGAAATTGGGATTTGCGACTGTAATTGGTTGTTTTGACTGGAATTTCTTTGGATTTAGGTGTTGGTGTCTTCTGATGAAATGTAGCTGGATGTCTTAGCTACCATATGCCTTTGGAATTTTGGCATTTGGACCTGTATAGACTGAGTTATAGTAATTACAGCATTATGTGATTTGTAAACCTGTTTTTTGGTGTTTCCAGTTGAGTATTTGGCAAATTTGACCTAGTTGTGCTAGGATTTGGACTGAGTGACCTTCTACATTGTTGTAGCCCTGTTCCATAGCTTCGAAACGGTGGGTCTTGCACTTTCATCCGACAATCGTAGAGCCTTTGGTACCATTACCGCAAAATGACGTCAAAACTGTTTTTCTGGTTTTGAGCTTAACCTTCATTTCCGGACTTTTCCTAGCTTGACTTGTACTAGTACTACTTGGAGCTTGCTGAATGGCTATTGGATGAACTTATTTGTGTGACTTTGGAACTGGCTGAGGAAATAATGAAACCTTGACGGCTGGAAAAGTAAGCAAATTCAGGGGAAGTGCTGTCCGAACTTTTAAAGGACTAGTTTGCATTGAGTTTGTGATCTAAGACTTGGGTTTGAGCAAGGCAATGATACATGATGGATGATTTCTGAGCCATTGAGGTGAGTGACCTCAAACTATTTCTGAAGTTCTTTATGAACCGTTTCCTGCATTATTTACCTTTAAACAGTTTCCAAAGTTACTTTTGAACTGTTTTCTTGCATATCATGCGTGCTTGCATATGAGTGTCCTCGGTTGCTGTAATTCTTGATATTGTTGTATTATTAATTGAAAAATGTGTTAAAGTACTTTTCGAGATTGTTAAAACGAGTTTTCTAGCGAGTGTGTACTTTATCGCACGTGCGACCTAAAATAAATATGAATTTTCAATGATTAATATTTAAATGCTAGTTGCGGCATGATGTAAGCCTTTTGGCTGAACTGGCCACCGCCCTTCGTTACCGATCGACTCGAGCCAGAAGCGGACTCGGTCGGGCGATATGGTGACCCTGGGTGAATTTGGTATACTCGAGTATTACCTTGTAGTCCGGCTACGTCCGGATGGGTGGAGTCCGGCCAACGTCGGATGGGTGGAGTCCGGTCAACGTCCGGAAAAGGGGATGAACGAATAAAAAGATGAACGAGGGGTTATTTATAAAAATGAAATTTTCAAATAATTGATTATCCTATTGCCAGATTCTTGTACTTGAGTACTGGATATTTCATTCAATGGTGTATTTGCAATTTGGAAAGGATTTAGCCTATTGTATTATGATGTACTAGAAAGTATGATTAAATTTGGAAAAGTGAATCGAAAGGATCAAGTTTAGCTTTTGAAAGTTAAAAGTGAAGAGCCAGTAGTGAGATCTTAAAGATTAGTGCAAATTCTACTTGTCAAGATGAATAATTTTACAATGGATTATATGCCATCTCTTACCCAAAAATGTGGGTTTAAATCTGAACTTTGGGTGAAATAGTAGTTTAAGTAAAGACCAGGAGCGTCCTTCCGGCAGTGTGTTCTAGGCATCGAATGACTAGTCACTGTGACTGTTCAAGAACTTACTTCTATTTGGAGCGAGTGATACGGGTTTAAATGGGTAAAAGACAGAGGCTAGTAATAGCAAATGAGAGAGTTCATATCAGAATGTAAGAAAGGAGGAAATCCGTAAGGATGTGACGTGACAGGATTCTAGAGTTGGAAACTAATATGATAGAGGAACCTATGGAAGTGGAACCGAAAGAACAAGTGGGGTCTAGTGGGATTGTCGAGGACTAAACTAATGAAGGTTAAGTTGAATCTAAACTAAGGGTTGAGCTATTAGCCATGTGGTTATAGTAATTTGTGTATTATTGAATTGTTTCCTTTCATGTTATAAAGATTGAAGTTTGAGTTATGTATGAAAAAGGGGTACTCTCCGTGAATTGTTAGGCTTTTAAAGTTGTATGAAGTTGGTGTGTAAGTAATTCGATGAATTTGCCATGTGAGGTGAGTTCTCGATGACATTGTGATTCCTTAAATTTTATTGGAGGATTATTTGGGGCTATTGTATGAAATGTTTGAGATCATTTGGAATACTCAAGAGCCATTGATGTACATATGTAATGATCATACTCTTTGATTGGATATTAGACGTAGTAGATCTATAATTTACGAAGGAATTTTGATTAGTGGTACTAATGGGGTAATTGGATTAGTAAATGCACTTGAACGATTGTCACCTTGACTATGTTGGGATGATTATACACGGTAGTTAGTATAAAATAAACGTCTATCAATGGATAAGATTAAGCCAAGACTAAGGTTAATGGTGCTTTAATTATTAAGGCAATGATGTTATGGTGAATTGTTGTAGTTTATGAGTCTAAAGAAATATTTATCGTAACATGTTTACAAGTTGTGGACATAACCATTATTGATAACAAGAAGTAGGAAAGGGTGAGAACATGAATAATATGTTAAAGTTAGTAAATTTGATCTATTGACTGTTCCTGTGAAAATATGAAGTGTGCTTGATTGCTTTTCAAGTTTTACATTCCATTTGTCCTTTATTGGACATATTTAGATTTATATATTTATTCATTTACTAGAGTTATCCATCTACTAGTTATTTATTATGTCATTAAAAATTAGTCAAAAAAGCCTACTGTGAGGTAGCAAATCATAAAAAAAGAATTCTCTCTAGCATAGGGTTGCCGTGCGTCTATTTTTGGTAGTTTAGGTTTTCTGCATGGCTGGCATTCAGCCGCCTGGAGGGGGGGCTGGCCGCTCCTTTGCGGTCGTGCTCCAGGCGCAGCCTTCACCCTCATCATCTCCTTGCAAGATCAAGACTGCGGCACAATACCGTGGAGAGCCGGCCGTCCTTTTCTCGGCAGAGGATATTGCAAAGCTTTCTGCTCCTTTCACTTTTGCTGTGGTCGGAAAATTTTCACATGGCAGGCCAAGCCTGGATGTCACTCGCAAGTCACTCCTGGCGATCGGTTTCAAGTCCACTTTCACTGTCGGTTTGCTAGATCAGAGGCATATCCTCATACGGTTTTGCTTGGAGGAAGATTTCCTTCGGTGCTGGACAAAGGGGTTCTGGAACGTTGCAGAATTCCCAATGCGTGTTTTTAAATGGAGCCCAGACTTTACAGTTTCAAGTGAATCTTCACGAGCCCCTGTCTGGATTGCGTTAGAGCATTTACCAATCCATTATTTTGATAAGGTGTCAATTTTCTCTATTGCCAACACCATTGGCAACCCACTGCAAATTGATACCGCAACTGCATCTTTGGCGAGGCCCAGTGTGGCACGCATCTGCATGGATCTTGATGTCTCACAGGATCTACCCGAGCGCATCTGGATTGGGACAGGCAATTCTGGCTTCTGGCAACGCCTCCACTACGAGAACCTGCCGCAGTATTGCCCTCTTTGCAATAGACAGGGGCACTCCAGTGATGGCTGTCGACAGCACAAACATCGTAGGAATGGATCCAGGCCTCAGACGGCGGCGGCGGCAGCCCAGATCCACGAAGACACGACTGGTGCAAAGCAATCCAAAGCTCCGCAACTAGCGTATCCCATCACCAGAACTGGGACAAACCAGAAGAATGAAGAACTGGGGCAGCCATCACAGGTCTCTATGGCTCGACAGGCGCAGGTAGGCAGCGGCCAGGTTGAGTGCTCTAGTCGCGAGTGCCTAGATGGTAGGCAGGTTGCGACGGTCCAGGTTGAGGATAGCGGTGCCCCCGTCCTGTCTTGCAAGTTTCTGCAACCCCTCCAGTCTTGGGTCGTATCTACGATGATTCGCAAATCCAGCAAGCTGCGCATGAGAAGCTGTCCCCCAAGGCTCCCTTTCGGATGGGGAGGATTTGCCAGAGGTGGGTGCGCGTGATAGGAGGACACTGGTTGCCTCTCTTCAGCCGTTCAGCAAGGCACTGGGCCTCGGGTTCAGCAGAAGTTTGTTGAACGGGAGGCAGATGGTTTCACCATGGTACTCTCGCGAAAGGCAAGGAAGAAGCGAGCTGCCACCCAAACCCGACAGGTCTTGACACGGCAAGCTGCTAAAGCCATTATGGTACCTTTTCACTCTACCTTCAATGAATAATTTGCTTATTTGGAATATAAGGGGAGCGACGAACAGACTTTCTGTAAGTCGCTTGCGTTTATTAATTCGTGTTCATCAAGTTGCTGTTTTAGTACTCTTAGAGCCTATGGCTGAAGCTTTCAATATTGAAAGCTTGCGGTTGAAGTTATCTTTTGATTTTTGTTTATTTAATCCCTCAAATAAGATCTGGGTCTTTTGGCGGTGTGGTTTTCATTTTAATGTTGTGCACAACTCAGAGCAAGTCCTCCATGTCATGGCGGGTCATGACTCTTGGACCGAGACTTTCTTTGCCTCTTTCATTTATGCTAAATGTACAAGGGTGGGAAGGCATGTTCTGTGGTCGGAACTCCGCGCTCTTGCTAGCTCTCACAAGGCCGTGGTTGGTAGGGGGGACTTCAATGCTATCCGTACGCTGGCAGAGTATACGGGTCGAGCACATCAAGACCTGGGAGCCATTTCTGATTTTAACACAGCAATCTCAGACTGTCATCTTCAGGAGTTGCCTTACTCTGGAAGCTCATATACTTGGTCTGGCGTTAGGTCAGGATCTAGGATATGGAAGCGGTTGGATAGGGTCCTGGCCAACACCAATGGCTCAGCTTCCTGCCAAATACTTCGGTCCAGCATCTTAATCGGGCCACCTCTGATCATACGCCCTTATTGGTGCATCTGCGGGGGGCTGATGCTAGTGCTCCCAAGCTTTTTAAGTTTAAAAATTTCTGGGTTTCTAGCTCGAAGTTTCAATCGACGGTGCAGAGCAATTGGGAACTTCCTACGCAGGGATATGGTATGTACCGGTTGGCTTTCAAGCTAAAACGCATGAAGGAATGCTTACGCCACTGGAGCAGGCAACATTTTGGCAACATATTTCAGGCTGTCCGGCAGAACGAGTTTGAGGTCCAGCAAAAGGAAATCTTGTTCGAGGCTGCCGACGGACGAGGCGAGAGCTGAGCTCCATCGGGCCAAAGGCATCCTATTGCACAGTCTCGGGTGGAAGAGGACTACTGGCGTCAAAAGGCCCGCCTACGGTGGTTAAAGGATGGGGATTGCAATACACGCTACTTCCATGCTTCAGTGAGGGAGAAGCGCTCGAAGCTGGCTATACATCGCATTAAGGATGCGGGGGGAGTTGGCTTGAGGATGAAGACAGCATTGGCCAGGAAGCGGTTGGTTTTTTCCAGAGTCTTCTTACAGCTGAGGAGGTTAGCGACGTGGATGATCTGCTGGTACACATTCCGCGGCTTGTGACTGAGCATCAAAACGATGTCTTATTGGGGGAGGTAACCATGGAGGAGGTCAAGAGGGTGGTTTTCGACCTCGATAAGGATAGTGCCCCGGGTGTGGATGGATTCACTGGCGTTTTTTTCGTCATTGCTGGAATATCGTAGCTCTTGACATCTTAGCAGCGACTAAGGATTTTTTAGCTGGGACTCCGATCCCAAAAGGTATTGCTAGCACTTTGATTGTCCTAATCCCGAAGAAGCCAACCCATCTACGTTTGCCGATTTTAGGCCTATTAGCCTGTGCACCTTTGTAAACAAGATTTTTACAAAGGTCCTTGCTAATCGTTTGCAGCCAATCCTCTCGGGCATTGTTTCTGCGGAACAATCCGCTTTCTGCCCTGGTCGTGATATTGCTGAAAACGTGCTCTTGGCACAAGAAATGATTACCTCCATTAACAAGAGGGCACGGGGAAATAACTGCTTCTTCAAGCTGGACATGATGAAGGCTTTTGATAGGGTGTCATGGTGGTTCCTACGGCAGCTCCTTTGCAAGTTTGGTTTTGACTACCGGTTCATTTTGCCTATTTTAAATAATCTCTCCACAGCTGGTTCTCTGTGTTGGTCAATGGCAGGTCCAAAGGTTTTTTCCAGGCCTCCCGTGGGATTAAGCAAGGCGATCCTCTGTCCCCTCTCCTCTTCATTCTGGCGTCTGAGGCTCTAAGTAGGGGACTGAATGCGCAGGTCGAGGGGGGCAGAGTGGTTCCCTATGCAACGTCACGTGGTTGCGTTCGGGTCACTCACTTGTCCTTTGCTGACGACTCATCATTTTTTCACGGAGCGAAAATAGAAGGTCGGTCGGGAATTTGGTTCGGTTCTTAAATTTATACCAAACTGCAACAGGCCAGCGGATTAATAATCACAAGAGTTTATTCATAGCATCGAGGCGGTGTGGAACTGGCCAGATTCGTCGAATTCAACAGCTGACTGGATTTGGCAGGCATGGAACTCTGCCGCTTCTTATTTGGGATGCAACCTATATGCAGGACGTAGGAAAAAAGAATATTTCCAATTCCTAATCGATAAATTCATTGCTAAACTTGCGGGCTGGCAGAAAAAGATCCTCTCCCAGGGGGGCGACTCATACTTATTAAACATGTGCTCTCTGCCATACCTACGCACGTGTTAGCCGTCATGGACCCGCTATCCGGGGTGCTAAAGGAGTGGAACGCCTTATGGCCAATTTTTTCTGGGGGCAGACGGAGCTGGGCCTAAACATCATTGGCGTTCCTGGAAAAACCTATGTTATCCAGTGGAGGAAGATGGCCTTGGCATACGTTCTTTTAAAAGCATACAAGGGGCTTTCAGCTGCAAACTGTGGTGCAGTTCCGCCATTCTTCCTCCTTGTGGGCAATATTCATGCGATCCCGTTATAGTGAGGACAATGGGGTTGTCTATGGAGCATCCAGAGTCTGGCGACGCATGCTGTCCGTTTCTGATATGGTGACGCAATTCACCCGCTTAATTGAGTTAGACGACAGAGCTAGACCAGCTTGGACCCTCACATCTTCTGGCGATTCACCATTTCTTCAGCTTGGGACGCTTTGCGGCCCAAAAGAGCTTGCCTTGGATCAAGGAAGTGTGTATGGAGTGCCAGTGCTCCTTGCAAGATTGCTGTCTTTATGTGGAAGCTACTCAATCGGTATCTCCCTTTCCCTGATGCCCTTCAGCGGTTTTGATCCACTCCCTTCAAAATGCCCGTTTTGCTTGAATGGAGAGTCTCAAGATCACGTCTTATCGGAATGCGTTCTAGCATCTCAGGTTTGGAGTTTTTCGCCAGGCCTTGTGGGTTCCTCAGTCGCCTACGGCCACACTATCTACCGTTTACAGCAATGGTGGCTATGTCATCCCCAGGCTCTGCACGGGGTAAGCTGTGCAAGGTATTGCCGTCGCTAATCTGTTGGGGCTTTGGAAAGCTAGGAACATGGCGGTGTTTGAGGGTGTTGTTTTAACCCCAACTCAGGTTTGCTGGAATATTCAAACGCTGCTGCATCACTTGTCCCAGGTCCGGCCTTTCGCTCGAGTGACGCAGGATGACGGGGAGCTGGTCCACTCGGGCTTGTTTCTCCGACTGACATCATTTAAGCGGATGGCCCCACGCTGGGTCCTTTGGGAATCACCACCGGAGGGGTTTGTAAAACTGAATGTTGATGGCTCATCTCTAGGGAATCCAGGCCCTCTGGTGCGGGAGGTGTGTTTCGTGACTCGGGGGTAATGTCCTCGTGGTTTCTCCTATTTTTTGGGATCAAGGACAAACATGGAAGCGGAGGCCTCGGCATTACTGGAGGGTATGTTGCTCTCCACAGGTTACCATTCTCTGCAAGTTGAAATGGACTCTCAGGTTCTGATGGCTATGGTGAATGGCAAGGGACGAGTACCTTGGAAGCTATGGAAGATATCTCACGCATCCAAGCCTTAGCGCTGGGCTGCGCCAGGTTACCTTCTCTCATGTCTATCGGGAGGCAAACGGGGTGGCTGACGCCCTGGCAAATCTAGCAAGTTCCACGGGTGTCGGTCACAGCTTTGGGGCCTCCACCCTCCCGACTACATACAGGGGCTAGCCCGCCTAGATAAGATGCGACTGCCTTATGTACGGTTGTCTTAGCCCTTCTGGCAAACATCTCAGAACAGAACATCTCTTGTGTCTATTTGTGAATAAATTTGGGAGTGGCGTCCCCCCTCGTGTTCGAGGTTAGCCGAAAAAAAAAAATCTACTAGTTATTTATTTATTTGTTATTTTTGGTCCTCCGTAGGAATTAGAAATAAAGGGTAGAAGGGATCGAAACTATGGGCCAAGGGGGGCAGACAAACCCCAAAGCGTGGAAGATAATTGGGAAATAAAGTTGAGGGTTAGTGAATGATGGCAAAGAGATAACTAGTGGAGTATATATTGAATTATGAGAGTTAAAAAAAATACAAAATTTAGTTTCATTTATTAGATTTAAAAGTTGACAATGGCTTCTTTTTACCGTGTAAAATTTCTAAATTTTCTTAAATTCTATGAGCATCGGAAATTTTCCTAAGATAAATGAAATGTCAAATCCATTCTTGCTTTTCCTATTTGTTAAAGCTGTAATTTAAGGTCCAGATCCGTTTATTTACAAATTTCATCTTGAAGGGATGCCTTTTGGGACAACTGTAGTGTGACGGCCCCACCTCTCCCTAGGGCGTACCCCAGGGTTCGGCGGATCGCCTGCCCAACTCTCGCCGGGACTCAGTCGTTCACTACAATCCTTAAATGAATTACAAGAATAAATCTCAAATATTACAATGTAAATCTCCAATATTTACATATTACAAATGCAGCGGAAACTGATTCCAAGCGTGGAACGTATGTAAACATCGATCGATTCCAAACATTCATTACAATCCCTAATAACAACTATTACACAAAAGGAAATCCAAATTCAAACCATACACGATATAATCCATCCATTCACATGAATAAGCACTCCAAGCTTTTCTTCGCCTTGAGCCCTGTGGGGGGGGAATAAAACATTTTTGGGGTGAGCTAGAAGCTCAGCGAATAACCATTAAAATCAGTAATCAAATCGGTTTCACAATAGTTCATTTCAATGATGTCATATATCAATGATGTCATAAATCAAATGATAAGTCCAGAAACAACTACAACATTTGCAAAACAGTAAATATGGAGTATCAATAATTCAAGGAACATTTACAATGGAAAGCGATAGTAACATTCATGAAAGGATACATTCATTCTCCTGACATTTCCTCGCTCATTTGGTCATTCATTTCATTTCATTCACCCGTCCCTGGCTTTTGGCCAGGCTCCACCATCCTACATAGGTAATACTCGAGTATACCAAACGTTCACCCAAGTTCCTAATCGCCTGACCGAGTCCGCTTCTGGCTCAAGACGACCGGTAACAAGGGGCAATGGCCAGTTCAGCCCAAAAGGCTTACATTCATGCGCAAGTAACATTTCAATCGAAAATTATCGAGGTCGAGTGCGATAAAGTACACACTCACCTCGAAAACTCGTTTTGGAAATCATTATAAGCGCTTAACACGTTATCAACCAAAATACAAGTCATGAAGTCAAGAAATATAGCAAACAAGGCACACTCAAATGCCAGCACACATGATATGCAAGAAAACATTTCAAAAGTGACTTTGGAAACAGTTCAAAAGTAAATAATGTAAGAAACGGTTCATAAATAACTTTAGAAGTAGTTTGAGGTCACTCACCTCCACGGCTCAGAAACCATCCATCATGTATCATTGCCTTGCTCAAATCCAAGTCTTAGATCACAAACTCAATGCAAACAAGTCCTTTAAAAGTTCGGACAGCACTTCCCCTACATTTGCTAACTTTTCCAGCCATCATGGCTTCATTATTTCTTCTCATTCAAACCCAAAGGTACACACACAACAACAAGTTCATCCAATAGCCATTCAGCAAGCTCCAAGAAGTACAAAGACAAATCCAGCTAGGGAAAAAGTCCGGAAATGAAAGTTAAGCTCAAAACCAGAAAAATAGCTTTTGACATCCTTTTGCGGTAATGGCACCAATGGCACTATGATTGTCGGATGAAGGTTCAAGACCCACCGTTTCGAAGCTAAGAGATAGGGCTACAACAATGTAGAAGGCCACTCAGTCCAAATCCTAGCATAACTAGGTCAAATATGCCAAAATACCAAACCAGAACCACTAAAACAGGTTCACAAATCACACAATGCTGTAATGAGTCCAACTCGTCCATACAAGTCCAAATGCATTGATTCAAAGCATATGGTAGCTAAGACATCCAGCTACATTTCATTAGAAGACACTAACATCCAAATCCAAAGCAATTCCAGTCAAAATGGCCAATTACAAGTGCAGTTTTGCATTCTGATCAACCCATAACAGCAACAGTAAAATCGACATATCTCACTCTACACTAGTCCAAATGACCTGAAATTTACAGACACTTCAAACTCATCAATACCTACAACTTT